CGTCCAGTGTCCCACCTTCCTTCTTTTTTGCCCTGGTCGTCCGTCGTCGCCCTCAACCTTTCGGGCAGTGGAGACTTCACCTTTCACCACTACTATGTGCAACTTGGCGTCCCTGGTCTGTGCCGGGGCGCGGACACCATGCCGTCAAGGCAAAAGGCACGGATCCCAAACAAGAGTGTGGAAGGCTAGCCGCCAAATCTGAAGCCATTCGGCAACTTGTTGGAACTGCTACCTCCCGGGTCCCCACCGTCTTTGAGGGCTATCATTGGTTTGATCCTCGTGTTAGTGGGAATACTGTCCAGATCGTGACCATGCTTGCCCAAGGGCCAGGGACGTACCTGTAGGAAATTCCCATGATGCCCTCATGCCCACCATCCTCCGTCGGCATGGGAATTTGAGAAATTTGCCATGGCGGCGAGACTGACTTCGGCACTCTTGGGCCTCAATTTCCCATTCCCCCCTCCCCTAAGAAATGATGAGGATGGGAATTGCCCCCTTCTCCCCCCTTCGGTGGCAACCCTATTCAGCAGAGGCCTCTGCGCTGATTCTCATGATTCCCGTGTCAGGGGCATCTTGACGTGCGGCTTGCCCCATCACGCCCTCCCACACTTGACCTGGTCCCACCGGATCTAGCCCATGCCGAAGCTATTCAGAGTTGAACACTGAGCCAGCAAGATGCCAAGACCAGCAACAAGGAAGCTTTGAACAAATTTCGGCCCTCGACATCACGGAGCCGGGTCACGGAGGAGCAGACAAGGTTCATTGTACCGTAGGCCGCATTCGGTCTTGATCTGACCCTCACCGAGAAATTGGAGACGTTTCTCTTCGGGTGAGAGATTTACCAGGACGTCAGGGGTCTGCGAACTAAAGCTCCGATATACGCTGGGGTTGAAAGGCCGGGGAGATCTGACATGGAAGAAAACACACTTTGTCGCTAAAGGAAAGCAACCGAAACGGCGGGTTTGCGCGTTTGGAAGCTATGTAATGGCCCAGAACCTCATTGGAGCATAATTGGCCTCTCTCGACCGTGGCGAGACAGTTGTGACGGAAGGTACGCGATACGCAGTAAACCGTAACGTAAGATAGACGGCCGGGGGGATCGCGAGAAGGGATGGATGCTCTCAGGGGGGGATGGAGGAAGGGCCATGGATGGATGCATGTGGCCAGGACGTATCCGTTGCGACGGATAGACCTCGAACCGGCCGTAGCTTGTACGAATAGTGGGAGCGCATCCGTAGGCAGACTACAGAAATTCAGACTTTGGGGCTGGCTGGATGGGACACACAGACGTCAAGGCTGACGGAAGGCAGCTCGTCCTTCCTCTCAGTTTGTTCGGCCTTGCCTCAGTTTACGTCGTTGGAGCTGTTTGGAGGTTGGTGTGTCGTCAGGTCTTGCCAATCAAGTCTCGTGTGAAGTCACGCTGCGCCACTAACCCGGCGCCCTATGATGTCACTCGCTGCTCTTTTTCTCACCCTGGTCCGACGGTCGGATCCCCCCCTGCTTTTCGCTTTAGTTAACCAATCAAAACGTTGGAGCGAGCGTTTTCTTCCATTTTCTCCCCTTCCTCCCTGGTAACGTTTTGACAAGCTGCTCCGTCACACACACCACAAACACGCCCCCCTTTCCCCCAAAAGGCTCAAACGCTGGTCCATTCCGTCACAGGAAGGAATGATACGCGCGACGACCTCATAGCACCACAGACAGCACCACAACTTACGTCTTTCGACGTCTCCTTACGTCGACAGCCCGCTTAGACCGAGTTCCACGAGGCGGAGAGAAACCCTCCTCTCTCTCAGATCTTCAAAGATTTGCACGTTTGTTAGCTAGAATGCGGCTCCCGTCTCGCTTCGCTCGAGCATTGCTGCATTGTCTGTCATGCACACCTAGCTGCTATTAGAGCTAGATTCTTTTTTTTTTCCCTCTCTTTGCATCACCCCTTGCCACAGCTTCTCTCATCATCGTGCGACCCTTACGACGGCTGACAATGAAGAAAAAAAAGCCTCCCGTCTATACTATGGGGGCACCCATGAAGCAGTTCCCGCCACCTGCATCATACCATGACTACCCACACTCTCTATGAGCTCCCCTCAGCCTCGAATGGAGACACAGGCCCGCGCCAAGGTTCCAGACCCTGACTCTTGTCTGACCCGGACCACAAGAAAGAAGGAGAGCTCACATACCTCAAAGTGATATGAACGAAACTGTTTCTTTGCGCGTCCGCCAAAGGTATTCCATCACACGTGATGACGCCATGCCTCTCACCTCACCTCATCTCTACCGGCCGCTATGCCCGAAGAGCTGGCACACACAATCAGATCTCAATCCTCCTACTTTGGGCGGATGGTCGTCTGTGACAGCATACCGGTACTCAACGACGACCCCTGAATTACAGCTGGCAAATATGTACTAGCTAGGAGGGTTGCTTTCGCCCCTGCGTCCTCAACTCTCGGCCACGGTAGGAGCCATCCCAACGGCTGGACCACGCAGTATGATCAAATGGCCCGCATAATGACATCGATCTCGCCTGCGATGGGCCCTTGATGGAGGCCGAGGGGTCGTGGAGGTCTGGAGAAACATCCTCTGAAACGTCATGAATGATGTTATACTACCTCTAGAGAATGGTTCCCAACCGGACATCTATGGCTTCCTCTACGCCTGAGAGAGTTGTCAGCCGACGCCTCGTCCACAATGGTGAGCCTCGACCTCGAGTCCTCGATCCACCGTGACAGTATCAAGGTCCACGAACCCTCAAACTTAGCGATGATAGTCCTAGACTCGAGCATCACTGAACCGCCTGATTGGGGCCAGAGAAGATAGCAGCACGCCGAGTCCTCTTCTTCTACTGCTCCCTTTGATCCCCAAAACCTCTCTGACCGTCCCGGTGCCTTCCCCCGCCACTCTACGGCACCTCTGCGTCCGAATCTACTGGGGGCCCAAGGGGTTTGAACTTGTCACCCAACGAGATCCTCGCCGCTAACCGTCCCAGTAATGATTGGCTGTCGCTGAGCTCTTCGGCGATCCTCCGTCATCCTGACGGCCTTTCCGACTCCTCAGGCGCGACCCTCTCTGCGATATCGAAGCTTGCTCGTTAACTACGGGACTCGGGTAGAATTTGGGCAGGCATCGAGCACCGAGCGTCTTTTACATCTCAATACTGAACATCGAGATCGAGATACGGCCGCGGTCCAAATAGGGTTGTATGGTCGATGTGCGTGTTTCGCAGCAAAAGGGGTCTGTGGCGGTTGACCCGTCTGTCTACTACATCATATCAGCATTGGGGACTTGTTGGTTTTCAGTCTCTCTCCTTGTTATGATCCACAGTACGTCACTATCACGCCGATTCGGGCCACAACGTAGGCGGATTTCAGCGTGGAAGAAAAGGTTGCGATGGAGGAGTGCTCCATATTCACTGCCCAAGACTTTTAGAATCCTATCGGAGGTGTGCCACGCCGTACCGGTCAGTGAATCAGGCGTTGTTGTAAGTGTAACCTAGAGGACCTCATGGTCCTACTAAACAACGCCTGTGCCGTCATTCTGGCCCCCAGATCCAATTATAGTTGATCATGAAAGTGGGTGTCGCCCAGCGCGGGAGTGCGTGGTGACTGGCGATTCTTCGTCATGGTTTAACTCTCATAATCTTACCTTAAGATTCCTTGGAGCAGTCTGTTGAGCCATCTAGAGTGTAATCCTTTGTGAGAGGAGACCTATGGCGCTCTTACCAGTGGATTTTGACTCACGTCAGATTGTCAACCTTGACGGCATTTCGACGAAGCAATTGTGGTGTGTTTGCCTATCCGTTCTTTAAAAAGCACGCGAGCGTGGCGGGAAAGCAGGCTGATCGTCCTATTTAAATCGCCACTACCATCATACCCTGACGGTCGTATCCTTGTTGAGAGGGATTTCACTCAAGGTCTGGGCCAAGTGAACACATCACGAGGGTGGTTTTGCTCAGTTGTATGGTTTATTTGGTGGTGGTTGCCCCCGGAGCTGATAAAAAGTCTTCATTTTATCATAGCCTGCCATCGCGTAGCACATCTCTTCAATATGAGGAACAAGTCACAAGGAGGGTTGTCTTTGTATCTCAAGTAAGTAGACGTACGACTCTAGCGTAGCCGAGTTTATGATTACCGAAACACAAGTCTAAAAAGGGAAGGCAATTTTTGGAGCATTCGAGTATGCAATTCTTACTCTGACCTCGGAAATCGGCACTACCCCTATGAAGACCGGTCGATACTCGGATCAGTGAGGGACCATTCGACCGTGGACCAATAAAAGGCTCTATTGAAGTCATTTTTGAGAGATAACCAGAACTACTTGCTCCTTCCTTGAGGCATACCAACGCAAGCCACCCAAATGGTAGAGTACCAGATATATCCCTGAATCTTCTCGAATTCGAAAAGCCCAGCAGGTGGTATAAGCCTTCGGCAGCAAACGGGATAACTATTAACTTATTTTACGTGATACCATCATTCTCAACCCACAGTGTGTCATCAAGCCACTACAAAATAGCCCCTGCCCAGGTGCATCATATTGAACTTTCCTTTGATGGTATGATGATTTGCCGAATAACTTTTTCACATCCTGGTGATAGTCTCTAATTCAATGCACATTGCAGTGTTCGAAGTGACGTTAAGGACCAAAACCACCTACGTAGGGTAATCTATCTTGCACGTGTCGGTCAAGAGGACACGCGGGCAATCGTCCTTGCCGTAACCAGGATAGAAAAATGAGAGAGGCACCAGACTACACCTACCAGATGAGAATGCCCATGGCTCATACAAACGGCGCGTCCTTCTCTCCCAACTCGTCATGGTGGCATATCGTCAGAAAAGCGCAACGTGGAAGGTTGTACAAGCCATCAAAATGGCCCTTCCACCCACCTACTTCCACTTCAGGTGAATCAGTGGGGTTGGCAAACTTCTCCCTCCTGTCACATCCTGATGGTGCAGTGCAGCATACGATATCACCCACTTCGTTCCGGCCGAAAGGCTGCCCTTCTAATGTATGTACCAACATGCCCACTGCCTACTTACAGCAAGGTTCCTAAGCTCCTCACTCAATTCCAACCGCGAAAGCGAAGCAGGTATGCCTTTGTTGCTGTGCTCACATCAACCCCTCCGAGTGATACACGGTTGATTTCCTCCTCTCTCGTACAACGACGGTGGGCACATGATTCAGATGAAACCACCACACATCAGATCTGACACGGTATTTGAGAAATCTGTCTACATGAGATTGTGATCTTGGGATGCTAACTGGACTTCCAAGGGAGTAGGCACGGCATCGACCGCCCGAGAAATATTGTTCAGACGCTTGCGTTCCTGAGCAAAGACCTGCGTAGTCGCGACGAATTACAATACGACTTGTCCAACAAATACGCAGACGGGAAGGAGGATGACGACCGTTGAATCCATCAACGTGTGTCACGATAACTCCCGTCTGATCTTACCTAAAGGACCCTTGTCTCGCCTTACAACAATCGACAGCCCAGGTCGATCTTTTGCCGATCCTCCACCAACCCCGCTGCCGGAGTGTTCTGAGTCGCCGCAGACCATCGAATAGGTCTAGGTTTGGTCTGTATATCAGTCATCCCAGACCCTGCTACCAATTGAGGGAATCGGAGAATCATCGTGGTTCAGCCATGGCTATCATGTCCTCCAACCAGTTGGACGGTGAGTTCGCTCGCAGAAAGCCAAAGTGTACGAATGCATTAGTGTTCGGGCTGGGAGACCCCATTGAGTTGTGCGCATTGTCGATCTCTTGGAGCAGACAAACACTCTTGCGGCGACAAATCACATTGTGCTCATCCAAGGTGGCAGAAGGGTGTTCATGAGAGGACGACGGTGGACGATCATTCCCGCAAACTCCCATCGCTGGTGTTGCGCAGTCGATCAGCTGAAGCCAATAGACCACGGCCAGGCACCATTCCTATCACCACTAAAAGCAACTTGACGATGTCGGCATCCCACGTGGAACCTTGGCGTTCACACAGTACTCTGGTGCTGATTATATGAATGCAACATAGGCTTGGCTCTGAGGCGCATTAGGCGGGCAAACCTTGCCTTGACGACTCATTGACGCCGATTTTGTTGCTGAAAAGGTCATTGGTAGGTGAGACAAGCTTGAGCCTCATTCCTATCCGGATTTGGGTCAGTTCCAGTCATTTAGGATTCACTTTCACCTCTAAATTCCCTCCTTGAACCAAGTCTGTTGCGCAATAAGCCGGATCACCCGCCGGATCACCGACGAGCAGTAATTTGGGCTTTGCGCACATATTCACCGTCAATATCTCCTCTGCAGCCTGTGGCCTCGTGGTGAAGTTCAGATGGCGTCCTTTTTGGGGTTTATACGTTCCGGACGGCCATTGGCGAAGACACTGGTAGACTCCGGATGCCGAGCATCGGAAACAAAAGGCCGATGTTTCATGGTCTCCTGCAACTCAGTACTCGCAGTGGCGGGGTTGTGCCAGCCACCAGGTCAACATGGATTCCTTGAAGCCAGGCCGGCTGCATCCGTTTCCCCATTTCTTGGGAGCGCCGTAGCAGAAAAGATCATTCTTTATTGTTTTTGATCTCGCAAGTCACGGGGGCTTTTGTCATTGGCTTACACTCAACTATCAGCACGGAAGAGAGCCGGAGCCCAGTCCAACACAACGTGATTGGCTTTGACCGCAATGACCAGTCTCTAGGAGAAGACAGTAAGGGCGCATCCCCAACACACAGACCTCGGGTTAAGTCCAGAAACTATGCCGGCGTCGCATAAGCATCCCATCTCTTAGCTGACTACTCCAACCAGCGAAAATGATCGCCAACCTTTATCTCCACAGACTCTGCCAATGCAATATTGGACAGGTTCGAAGGGCCTTTCCCGGGGTCGCTTGGGAGGATATAGAGCACAGAAGGCAATAGCGGGATAATGCTGGAGATCTCGGCATGGTGTATCGTTATTTCAAGGAAACACCCAAGGCGGACAGAGGGCGGAGAACTCACGATCCCTCGGCTGGGCGCGATGTCGCAACATGCAGTCGCAGCTTGTTCCTGTTAAGTTCAAATAAGGACAACCCTGCATAATCCAGGTACAGGCTCTCCCCGTCCATCGACGCGCATCTCCCGAGGCCCAGGAAGTGTGGTCGCGGGCCAATGCTTCATGCAGCAGGCAGTTGCGTCTTGTAACAATAGTGCTAAGACTGCGTTTCACCCTGGATCGACAATGTTTCCGCACCCACGGATGACCCCCAAGGTTTACTTGAGGCGAAAAGAGTAGGCGCCCTAGATAATGTCTGGGCAGGTCGCTCAAAGGCAAGATAAGTGTGGCCTGAACTCTTTTTCTTTCCTGTTAAACGACGTTGTGGTTGAGCCAGGTCTTTCCGCTTGGCCGTGTTGTTCTTATTCATTCCTTTCTTTCTTTCGATTCTAAACACAGTAGCGACTTACTATCCGCTCCTTCAAGATATTTCTTAATAATGTTGTCCAAGGCTATTGCCGTCCTGGCGGCGGCGACGTTGACGTCGGCCGCTACGCCCATGGGCTTTATGCCCCAGTCAAACACTCCCCTAATTGTTTCTTACGGAGGCATCTCGGCACTGGATGGCGTGAACCTGCCTAGAGATTGTAAGTTTTCACACGGTCGAGACCAAAGAGCGAGGTCAACCTAACAAGAACCCAATAGCTAGTCAGACGCAACCCACAATTGCGACCGAGCAGCAGCTCAAGGGCCAGTATGCAGTGATAATGGTGGATATCGACGTCCCGACCAACCAACCTCCCAAGACCGGAACTCTCCTCCACTGGATGCAGACCGGTCTAATGTCTGCCGATACCCCGACGACGCTCAACACGACCGCCGGGCCCAAGAAGGTGTTCCTGATGCAAAACAGGATGAACGCAGCCGCTCTGGCGCCGTACATTGGCCCCAACCCGCCCGCGAGAGAGCCTCTCAGCCATAGATACACCTTTGTCGCGGTCGACCACACGATGATTACGCAGCAAGGCCTGATGGCCCTCTCCGGCGCGGCTCAGAGCCGTCGTGACTTCAACGTCATGAACGGCCTCATGGCGGCTGGTCTCTCAGACAAGGTTGTCGCCGGTAACTTCTTCCGCGTTACGAACGCCGGACCCGTTGGTGCTGGTCAAGGAACTGGTGGTGGAGGTAGCCGCGGTAACAGCACCGGTGGCGGAGGCGGTACCATGCAGCCTAAGCCGATGCCGATGCCCGCCCCTGCGCCTCCTGCCGGAACCCCGACTACCCCCGGTGGCGGTGGAATGCCCGGTATGCCCAACATGCCCGGCATGAGCATGGCTCCCGGTATGACGATGCCCATGCCCGGTATGCCGGGTGCTAGCGCGCCCCCTATTGGTGGTGCTCAGCCGTCGAACCCTGCCCGCGCCAGTGGTCTCAGCCTCGCTCCTGGTCTCGGCCTCATGACCATGGGTCTCTGCCTCATCGGTTCCCTGTTCGTCTTCATGTAACGTTTACGGGTCGTTACGGGCACAGAAAGTGATCCAGGTTGGGGAGTCTTTGTTACACTTGCTGAAGAGGCCAGAAGATGTTTTCCTTTCGTTTCCTGGCTGCCGCTATAAGCTGAATGTGGAGGGATGCTAGTCGTATATAGGGTAGAGCAGCATGCCAATACAATAGCTAAGACGCGGCCACATTGCGTTTCGTTCACTTTGTAGTTGTGATTAGCTCGTCTTAGTGATGTCTATGATCCCAGTCCTCCGTACAAACATCCTGGTAATGGTTCGCTCGCTAGCACCACATCCCTACCTGTGGATCGTGGAGCCCAAACAGGCCAACGGTTTTGGCGCAAACTTGGCAAACTTGCATCTCCTACCGATAAACCATCATGACAGCGCAATTGATGGGTCGATATTGCTGACAGCAACAGTGGTGAGAGCCAACTGAGTGCCACGACTCAGCCCCCCGGGACTGTCAAGATCGAGGTCGGAGGGACAGCGTGGCCGGGTCGGGACAAGAACGTAGCCAGCTCGGGATAAGGACCTGGCCGGTCCGGAGGGATTTGGGTCCAGTCCCCGAAATCCTGGCTGGGTGGCCTTCCTCCGCACGGGCCCGGGGTGCTGATCATCCCCGTGTCACATGTACAATCATGTGATCTCGTCACGCCCTTCCTTCCCGAGAGGGTCGTCACGACCTGCCATCATATGGATCCTTAGTCATGCCAGCGCCTGCCCTTCGATGTCTCAGTGTCTGCAAAAAAGTCCGCTCCGCACCGCGCGCTCACTCGCACGCACTCTCAAACACAGCTTTCCCTTGCAAGTGTGCTACTCAGTTTTCAATGTCTTTCTTGATCTAGGCCCGTTTCTTGCAGTTGTTCCCTTGCAAATAGCGCAAGCGGATGTTTTTCCCCCTTTCAAAGCATTGCATGAGTCACTTACACCTGTTTTTCTCGCGCGCCTAGTCTACAGGTAATAGATTGTAGTCGCCTACCTGACTAATAACTGTATCCGCCCCGAGCGGCTAATCCGTACGATGCGTCTTGTCACAGCCCACAATGATCAATCTAGTACCTGAGGTACCCGTCTAGATCTCTATCTGAGGTGTGGTTCCTTCCGTCTTGGGTATCCGTCCGGGGTTGACGACTTGAGACTTCCGGGAGGCCCTGTCGATGGCTCGGGTGCTCTACAGCGAAACGGAGCAGAAATGTCTCCGAGTTACACCGCGTACTACACCTTGGCGCCCCATTGAACGCAAAAAAAACCTAGGCGCAATTGTGAAGTCCGACTTCCCCATCGTCCACAACTTTAACCACGAGTTGATGCATACCAAAGTCCTGCCCCGTTCAATCTTGTATAAAGCATTTCTCGTCGCCACGCTCTGCTCCTTGATACTAGAGGGTTTAGTTTGCCTATCCACCTCAACTCATACATCTTCCCAACGTTTCGAAACGAATCAGAAACCCGGCAGAGCTATATCCTAGCATAACTGCAAGGGGGGTCAGAAACCCTTAATACAACCTACCGCTGTTTGCAAGCTACCTTACCAAGCTCCCGAAGCTATAGAAGCTTCGTAACGCAACATCCCCCCATCTTGCCTCGCACACCAACATACCGCAAGTCTCAACAGCCACGCGATAATGCCTACCCTCGTCGTTCTTGGTGCTGGCCTTGCCGGCCTGCCCATTGCACACCATGCCTTGAAGCATACAGTGCCGCTGGTAAAGGACCTGAAGGTCATATTGGTGACGCCTAACTCTGAGCAGTAAGTTCCCATACTTGGTGGCGTAGCACGCACATACACACGCACTATGCAAGACGTCATCCACTTACACCCAAGCTTCACAGCTACTGGAACCTGGCTTCCGTCCGCGGCGTTGTGCCTGGCCAATTTGGCGACGACGTGCTCTTCCATCCCATTGAGCCGTCATTTGCAAAGTATCCCAAGGAAAGCT